AGGTACTACTAGCATGTTAAATAAGGCTACACATGTGAACACCTGAAACAAACAGATTATAGTTCAAAGTGTCTTACAAGATGGTACCTGTTTAGCTACACAACCCTAACATTTAACAGTCAAACCGATCAGAAAGCAAATTGATTAACTCAATGAACCCAGCACATCGATAAACAACGTGTGAAATACAATATCTGATGAACTAGTGTCGACATAAAATTTTGTCTCATCTTAAACATGTTTTTGAAATCCCATATAAACTATGCAAGAATTTATGAAACCATATTGTCTGTTGTTAGCTATTTTGGTTAAACAGGATACATCCAATTATTGGTGGTGTTAAATAATAATGGTATTAATACTTTATCAATGTAATATTATCAACACAACCCATACCTTCTGTGAAATGAGAGGTGTCTAATGGCCAATGGATTGACATCGCAACATTTTCAAATGACGTCATTCTATAGAAAAGGTACCGGTGCACATGTCCAGTAATACCTCTATGTAATGATACGAAGATACATGTACCGGTACTCACCTTAGCTGCCGTCAGTGTATTTCCTAATGCTGCATACGTGGTAAATGTCAATAACGATATAAGAACTGGTGTCGTAGCCCAGAAGTAAACACAAAATGCATCAAGGTACTTAATACCTTTCAAACTCTGGAGTTCATCTGACCTTAAAGACTTTATTCTGTCTCCAAAGTGCTTTTCCCATGCAAAAAACTTGATAACTCGGATACCAAATAGGACCTCACTCATCATCTAATGAACAAAGATAACTAGTATATTATATTTGCATTCAGAGTGTTTAGATTTTTATAATGGTGTTGACAAACTACCGGTATTATCTGAAATATTTTATGGTCCCGGTATATGCGATTATATGTTCTACTAGTAAATGGTTTTCAGCATGTTTGAATGTTGGCAATTTTTTGGCTTCACAATTTGTTTTTGTTTTATTTCATTTACAAAGCTTTTGAACCATCTTCTGATGCACATAGATTCACATTTGTTCCAATACACTATATTAACCACATTTTAGTATTTTGACCACACAGAAGAGATGAGATTATAGTGAAAAATAGCTACAGAAACGTTTCCAAACTAAAAAAAAGTAGGTCCGTTCTTAAATGCAATAGTGTGAATGTAAGTTGTTTTATGGGTAATTACCGTGCAACATTCAGGATGAAAATTACATTAATTCGATTAGTGCAGAAAACAAGCAATAAATATTTTCTGATCCTGATCATCTGTGTGTCTTTCTAGCACCTTTAAGTAGTACTGGTAATGTTCATACACAAACACAGTTCACCATAAACACAAGTTTAAAGGCAAAAAGTGATACTTGATACAGTTGATGCTCGGAGAATATCACAAGAGAGAAGCCAAAACTAATTTTTGAGGAAAAAAGATTGAATGCATGGACAGTTGACACCATCTACAGAACTGATTTGATTATTATCATATCATCAACACAAAAAAAAAATCAACATCATTATAATCTAGTTAAAACAAAGTACAAGTACCTTGACTCTGGCATCCTTTTTCTTCATTAAACTCTGATTGAGTTTTCCAATTTTCCTGGCTATGCAGTGGTTTAGAGGTATTCAATACAACCATCACACCAACACCAACTAGAAATGACAAGCCCACTTGCAGGTACAGCAGAAACAAAGCGATTGCAACTGTGAAGGGCAGACTCCAGAATGCATGGAAACTTATAGCAAAGTTACGCACTCTGTCAACATCTGTACTCATCAAGTTAACAATTTCACCAGTGGCAAATTTGGATAGGGCAGTTGTACCCACTGATAAGGTCTTATGATAAACACTGGTTACCAGGGCAACCCTCATCTCTAAGCTCACCTTATTAACTAAGTAATTGAAATGTACAGACGACAATGCAGTAATGGATGTTGTTAAAAACAGAGCCCCAGCATAGTAGTAGCCATTTTGTACAGGCTCATCTCGGTTCTCCATGTAAGAAACTAATGCATGTAATAAAAGGGGACCTGCAAAGTTAAGACCATCGGAAAATAACTTGAGTAAACCTAACGAATAGTATCTGCAGCCAAGCATGTTATGCATACCCATTAACAAAGTTGTACTTTTCATATTAGTATTTTTAGTTTTAGAATCAGTGTGCGAGAATTCAACAGAAGGAATGAACACTCCCTCAGATTCATCGGATACACTAGTATTTTTGACTTCTTGAATACTGCCCTCAACTTCTCCACTCACAATTATGGGTTTCTTCCAAGCTTTTACAAACATGGCAGATACATACTCAGTTTGCAGTTTCCTTGGCAACAGAAATAAGTCTTCTGTGGAGTTCAAACAGCCCTTTGACCCCTTCAACATCAATGGGTTTACCCACCAGAAGGCAAGTTTTGAAAAACAGTTAGCATTATCTTCAGCAATACCGAGTAATTGTTGTCCGGACGAAGCGAGTAGTGGCTCTCTTGCACCATCAGTATCATTTATACTTGAATAAAGTGATAGATCAATGGGAGCTGTGAATGGCGGCACAAGGGATATCAAATACAAACATTGTAAGCATCCTACAATTATAATTACAATAATTTCCACAGTCTGTAAATTATGCAGTTCACCAGTTAAATTCAAGATTGCACTTCTCAGCTGAATACATATAGCAAATAGTGTCAGTATCCATGTTACAATCAATGTGATTGGTCCCCTGCCTCTGTTAACAGGCAACAACCTCAATTTCCATAAAGCACCAGCATGTAAAAGCCATGCAATGAAAACGACTGCATTTGTTGTATAATCAATAATTTCCAGATGTACTTTTTGCAAAGAAAGAACTATTATTTCAATCGCAGATAATGCTGCCAAGAATATTGATATCACAAGTCGGATGATTACAATTTTGAAATATGTTCTGTTAGTATTATAGACACTTTGACGATAGGTGACTTGATGTGTACCAAGTTGAAAAGAACTGCAGACAGCAAATAGAATATGACTGGCCACAATAAATGCCAGGTCTGAGAAACACTGACCAAAGTCATTTTCGCTCCACACTGATACATTTCTAACTCCACACAAGTCCTTCCAAAATGTCATCTTGCAGGCATACAATGGAAGTAGTATTCTGTGAAAGTAATGAAGAATTACATAAATTGCAGAGGTGTGACTAAGGTCAAAATAAGTCAGATTTCATGATCCAACATTCCATCAATCAATGCATTTTGTGTTTATGTGTGGTTCTATTAGAAATGTCCTTCCATTTACTTATTGACTCTTACACAATCCCCGGAGGAAAAGAAAATGGTCACAAAGTACAAGGAGAAATATATATATAAAAAAACAAAACAAAAACACAATATACTAAATAACAAATAACAAATACAATCACTAAATTACTAAATAATACAAAATCTCTAAAATACAATCTAATATAAAATTACAAAATTGACAGCAGGCATTAAGATGTCAAGTAAGACCCTGCTTCCTGACTTCAAAGCTTTTACTTATGAACTGTGCTACTGGTATAATAATGTTTTCATTCTGTAACAATTCCATGAATTTTTTCTCTGCAGGTTTATTTTCAAATGCTG